GGAATATGTCAATCATCCACAGAACTCAAACTACCAACTCATCTCACCTAAGTCATCCAATATTGCAAATAAACAAACCTCTGGGAGCTTGGCAGCTTAAAACAGGCACAAGGCTTTACAAAGTTTTATAAAGAATCTGAGAGGGACAAGAAGGGCTGGTTCTGTGATAGTTTTTATGTGGTTGTGTCAGCTCTGGGTAGGGTGGTGGAACACTGAAAGGTGTATCTTTTCCAGGTCATGTTCATAAGGCTCACAGAGACAATGAAAACTCTCCTGAGGTCACCAGTACTGGCAATCCAAGAAAGCATTCGGGATATCACCACAGCCTTCCACGGCTGTATCTCAGATGACACCCACCAGATCTGATACCGTAAATGGTTCCAAAGTCTAGCCCTGATGTGATGACAGATGACCACATACCTATGTGGTTCCTGTAAACAGAACAGTGTTAGGTGGATTTGCTTTGCTCTGAGTAAATACTGATTAGATGTCTAATGTGTTTCTAGACCTTGAAAATGGCAGTCATTCCTCATTCATGACTTCATCTTCCACAGCCTAACCCAAAGTCAAGTGTGGCATAAAAATAGTAAAAGAAATTTTTCAGAAATAATTTTTAAATTGCACTCTTCTCTGAGGGTTACTTGAATACATAGCTATGCCATGACAGTTAATCATCTGCCAACTGAGACAACGACTCTCTAATTAATAGGCATCAGTGTTTGTAGCAAGAACAAGCTGTACAAAGGCTTGATTCTTTTCCAAGGATGGAAGCACAGAGTTGGACAGCCTACAACTCATGTGGCTACTCAGGGCAGCTTCCCAGTGATCAATGAGGATTATCTCAGCAGCTTGCTTCACTGTCTCATCACATGGGTTCCGCAACCTGCCGCAGTACCCCAGGAGTAACCATAGGTCAGTACCACACAGGGAGGTCCTCAGGTCATCCACGTAAAGTATGTTACAACGTATGGTCATGATTACTCATCTATTGCTGTTAATCTCTCCCTGTGTCTGATATATACATTAAGCCTCGACACACACACACAGAGGAAAGAACTTTGTATGAAACATGATATGTTAGTACTAGCTGAAGCCCTAGGCACCCACTAAGACTCTTGGACATATTTCCAGGGAACGCATGGCATGTCCCCTCTGCTTGTTCATTGCTTTGAAGTCAGTTTTGTCTAACATTCACATATCTGTCTGGAGTTTCTATTTTATTGGAGTTTGTCTAGTGTGTCTTTCCCATTATCCTTAAACAGCCCAAATCATTATATTTAAAAGGGTCTACTTGTAGGCACCATGTACGTGAGTCTTTAGAATATATATATGTTTGAAAGCAATGTTCCAATATTGAACCTACGTTACATGTAAATTCTAGGGACATTAAAACTAACAAAAATTTAAAAAAATTCTACATCAATCAAATACATGCCATAAACACTGGAGTAACAAAACAGATGTTAGAGCAGCCAAGGGTCCAGGTCATGAGAGGCACCACAGACCAGTTTACCAGGATGACACCATAGAATGTGGTTATGGCTAACAAGAAGGCTATAAAGTATCATCTGGACTGAAGGGAAACAGTTATATTAGTATTAGAGGCCTTAGGTTCTTCCAGGGTCATTTCAGCCCTACATCCAGAAATACCCATAAGCAGTGCCTTCGAACAGGCTAAATTAACTTCTCACAGTTCTAGAGCCCAGAAGCTTAAAGTCAAGACAGTGCAGAGCTGGAGATCATGAGGCCTCCCTTACACTCTAGATTCTATCCATACCTATAGCCTCTGCTTCGTTCTCATGGCTTAGTGCCCACTGTTCCTCTTGTGAAGATCCTTGTCTTAGCAGGTCAGGGTCCACCCTCTAACACTCCTGTAACACCCACTGCCTCTTCAGAGTCCACCTCTAAATATAGCAGTACTGGCGCTCAGACTTAGGTGTGGCGATGCTGGTCCTTCCCATTTGCCTCAATAATCTCACACAGATCAGAAGGATATATCAAGTGTGAGCAGTGCTGAGTACAACAAGACATACTTGGTTTTATGGATCTCTCCACTGGAGACCAATTCACGTTTACCAGGGGCTTTTTGCCTTGATAGAATCTGCCTTTAGTCACACTGCATACCCTGACATAGAAGGAAACTGGAAATTAGTAACTCCTTGGATAAACCCCCAAATATGCAGAAATTGAATATTATTCTAAATAGTCAGGTTCAAAGAAGAATAAAGTAATTTTCTGGGATGAACATAAAAATATAACATATCCAAATTAAACAGTGCTTAAAGGGAAATTCACAAGACTAATTGGTTCTATTAGCAATAATTAACTAGTGAATAAATTTAGAGTTAAAATGTTTATATTGGAAGAAGAAAGCTGGAAAGAACAGTCTAAGTTTCCATCTTAAATTACTTTTAGGAAAAAATGAAGCTCACATCAAGTAAAAGGAAAGAAATAATAAACATAAGTGAAATCAATGGAATTGAAAGCAAAGACAGTAAAGAAAATCAAGGAAATGAAAAGCTGTTTTGTTTATGTAGCCCTGGCTGTCTGGAACTCACTTTGTAGACCAAGCCAGTCTCAAACTCAGAGATCCACCTGCATCTGCCTCCTGAGCATGTTCCACCATTGCCTAGATGAAAATATTTTGTTTTGTGTAGATAAATAAAATTGAATAAGCCTTTAACCTATTGACCAGAAAAAGGAAGTTGGGGCAGAGAAAGAATGAGGAGTGGGGATAGAGGAAGAAGGGAAAAAGAAAGAAAAGATTCCATTTTCAACCCTACCTAACACTCAACAAACTGAGAAATGGAAGGATCTTCTTTAACTTGGTGAAGCAAATCAATTGGAAAACTTACAGCCAACGCTGCCCTTCACTGTGGTAGAAACTAAGCTCTTTCCCCTGGAGCCAAGGTCACAAGGAGGTCTACTGTTATCACACATTGCAAACACCAGAAATAATCCCAGCTAGTGTCACAAAACAAGAGGTGCCAAGGCTCACGGGCTGCAAAGGAGGAAATGAAACCATTTGTCTGCTGAAGGCATCGCTGTTTACGTGTGTAATTCCAAAGAATTAGCAATAAGACAAGCCCTGCTAGAACTAGTTAGGCAAGGTCCCAAAGCCCAGTGTTGACACACAGAAACCCATCTCTATTTTATTCAAAGGCAGGGAGCACATAGGGATCACGACCCAGTGTTCATGGAAGAATTAAAATATGTTCACCAAAGAACATGAAAAGATACTCAGCATTGTTAGCCACAAAGGAAAAACCTCTGAAGCAACAATGCGATGCTACTGTGTGCCCAGGAGAGCGCTCAGTGAAAGGAAAGAAAGGGAACCGTGTACAGGAGACAGTGACGGCTCACCCCAAAGAGAAACCAGCTCATGACTCTATGGTTCACGTGAAGAACCAGAAAATGAGGTTCTTACTCAAGTGCAGTTAATATATGACCTTTGAAAAACACTTGATCACAAGTTTTGATTAGTAGTCTGTTCTACTTCCTTGAAGTTCCACTTTGAATCTTTATTTTTTCTTCAAATCCCTAGGAGACTAGTCATTTAAGGCATTAAATGATGAATAATGTGATATTCGTCTTGAAAAGCAAAATAAAACTAAGTAAGTGACATAGCTGGCATTTGATTTAGTAACTGCAGGTTGGCACAGAAGTAGAGAAAGACCAAATGCAGTGAGAGATTAGATAAAGAAATGGGTCTAATAGAGACCAGCCGAAAAATAGTCCCAAGAAGAAACACGAGATAAAAAGAGTGGAGTCTGAATCCTCACTGGCAATGGTCAGTGACGGTAGCATCTACTACAAGTAAGATAGGTACATATCCCCATCCCCAGTCTGTGTGGCAAGGGCCACCATGTTGCCTGAGTTCTTCTTTGCTGGGTGGCTTTCCCAAGTCCGGGGCACCCTCCTGGTCAGCCTATATAACCCTACCTCATTCAGCTTCATTCTGACCTGAGCTTTTTGAGGTCTGTGATCCCTTCCTGCCATTTGCTCTTCTTCAAGGGCTTTGCACACTTCACATCCTAGAATAGGACCTAGAGCCTGGAGGTTTGCAACAAGACAATTGAGAGCAAAGGGATGAAGCCCTTCTTTAGGAGTAAGCCAGCAAAGTTATTGGGCTCTGACCCAGTACACCCGCCTTCCCAGAACACAGGAAGCCAAGAAAGATAGCAGTCAGGGAACAAGGCCAAGGGTCAGAGGTTGAGGCTGCATCAGGACCTGAAACTGGGTGGGGAAATTGGCAAGGATGAGCCCTCCTGTGATGGAGCTCCCCAGCACTCACCTCCACCACTCACACAATGGTCCTCTGCTAGGTGGATCTTCCAGCCCATCCTGCATTGCATGCCTTTCCTTTTTCCTTGTGGCTTCATGTCACACTGTGCATCCCACCTTGGGATTCTAAGACATCAGTCATGTCGGCAGATCAAGAGCCAGTTGCTAAACACACCCTTGAAGTTGCTGGGAATTCAGGTGTGTACCTGCTGGCCCTGCTGGTGGACCAGGTGTGGGTGACTTAGGACTTCAAAGGTCTTGGGCAGGAAAGAGGTTGTGAGTTCAAATAGGTGAGTCAGGCCCATTGTTTCATATATCTGAAAAATCAATTGAGTCCAAAGTAAAACATGTATTTAACCAGCAAAAGTGTATGGCTAATTGGTTTTTAAAGGATGTGCTTCCTGATCCTTGATACCAAAAGGGACCTAAGATTAAAAAACAAAACAAAATAAAACAAGACAAAAAAAATCTGCACGGACTGAGTTCTGGAAATCTGAGGCCAAGTACAGAGAACAGTGAAATAGCAGAGTCCCCAGAAGACAGCTCAGTCTTTCCTTTAGGAGATAGTACTACAGGAGTGAGAAATAGCACAAGCGTGGACCAACAGAAAGAGCAGGCTGATAAGGGTCTAGGCCCTCCCAGAGATCCCTGTGTCTAAGAGATGAAAGCTTGGCTTTCTCTGCACCGGTGTGGGATCAGAGCCAGGAAGGTCCCTGGTTCTTTTGTAAGATGGGCTCTTAACTTAGATAGCACTTACAACGCTCCTGTCCCAAACAGCTGAAGTTTCAGGCTGCTGTGCCTCAGGTGATCTCAGGAAAAAGGTTCTCAACTTGAAGAATATCTGGTAGGTTTGGTGCCTCTTATGAATTGTCTGGATCCTTATCAACCTTAGATGCTCCTGTGGGGAGGGGCAGAGGCAGGTGCCACTGTGTGCTACTGCAGAAGCCAGCTGGGCACGGAGTATGATATGAGCCCTGCTCGGGTATAGCTTCTGAACGTGAGAGAGGACTAGGACTTTGGAACCATCTTTTGTCTCCCCACATGTAGGCTCAGGGATGTTATATCCTGGAAATGTGGGTGAGAACTCTGCACAGCGGCAATGAGACCTGACCAGGCCTCTTTGGCGTTTCTAAAAAGACAGTGAACACCTGTGAACAACTTTATCTATTAGGGCCTCACCAAGCTGTCTTCTATATTCTATTGTCTTGGTACATTTTTTGGATTTGGTATGTATATAAGTTGTCATAATCAAATGGAGTTGTTTGTATCAAAATTAACCAAAGTACACTGAAAGCCTCCAGAGGTTGTGAAGAAGGGAAATCTCATGCTCTTGTGCCTGAATAGCAATAGCTATGAATTAAGACTCTGTCAGAGCCAGAGCCAGGCAGAAACTACCTCAGCCTCACATGGGAAGCTTCTGCCAGTACTGCCTGCCCACTTTGGGGTTATTGACATCCTGGTTTCTGGTCATGAGAGCCGAACAGGGTCAGAACAATGTATGCAGGCTTTTTACTTTACCTTTGAAAGTCTTCTTTTGTCTCATGACCTGAATATGCCTCAGATACATGGCTCACATGGTCTCACTGTGGTGCTCAATCCCAAACACAGGAGTCTTTAGACACTCTGTGATTGAGGTTAACAAATGTGTGAAGGGTTGTTTCTGTGGCTGCTTTACTAGAGACTTGCTCCTTTGAAACAACACAGACTTCTTTTCTCACAATCCTAGGGGCCACAAGTCCCACACAGAGGTCTGTAAAAAACTGGGCTCTCCTTGCAGCACCAGGGAGGGTCTTTCCTGTTTTGTCAAGCTCCTATGACCCCACTAGGGCTACCCCACCTCAGTCTCAGCTTCAGCCTCCACTGGCTCATCTTGGTAGTGGCTTTTGACTTCTACAAGGACTGCACCTGGGCCAGCCTAATAATAACCCAGAGCAAATCCCAAGATTCCTGGGCAGCTTTTCTTCTGTCTTACGAGGTGACATTTGCCATGTGAGCAATTTCATGGCCTCTCAGGCAGTACATGCTGTTGTGAGATGCTATGGGCTTCAACAACATATGCTCCTTCCTCAGGCTTGGAATGCAGGATCAGGCCTGGTCAGGTCTGCTATTGGGGACCTGTCTCCCTGCTTCCTTTCTGTACGAAGAATATGGAAAGAGCTTGCTGATGCCTGGAAGACAACTAGATGAACAAAGTTCTACTCAGTAGACCCCGGGTTTGACGAAGAGACTTCCAGTGTGTTCTAGGCAGGGGAACACTGAAACTTCTGCACCCAGCCTATCTCTCCAACTACAGGGTGAGAGCCTATGGAAGCCTCTCTGTGAAGGGTCCTAGTGAGAGGCAGGAGGAGCATCCCAAGGTCCGTGCAGGAGGGAACCTCAGAAGCGAAGGCTCCAGAAGCGGTAGAGAGAAGGTGAACGGAAGTGGGAGTGGACGCGAATGGCCGGGTCACTAGCACCTGCTACCACAGGCCATACTGCGCCCAATGGGGCTGTCTGGGGGAGGGCCCAGAGCAGAGCGAGGTTGCACAGAGCCGGTGGGGTGGGCTAGCGTGGGTGAAACCGCTCAGACACAGCTTTAGACGCAGCTCATGCTCCGCCCCCTTCCTGGCTGGGCCCGCCCCTTGCAGCGTTGGGCCTGGCCGGCCACTTCACCGTACTGCGCAGGCGCAGCGCGCGGGCGTCGAGTTTGAAGCTATGGCGCCAGGACAGCGGTTGGTCTTGTGCGAGGAGACCGTCCGGGAGCGCAGCGGCCTGGGTCCCCACCGGGACCTGGGTGCGTGTGGGGACGACTCCTGGGGCTCAGGGTGTCCCCCGGGAGGGCTGCCTGGTCTGCTAAGTCGGCCTCAGTGCGCACGCCGCTTCGCCGGGAACGGTCTCGGCCGGGTGGTGGGGGGCGGGTTGTGGGAGAGGGCGAGGCTGTCCCTGAGAGCCTGGGGACCGGGCCTGTGTGTGTACGTGTGATTGATAGTGTGTATATCTGTGATGGTGTGTATATCTGTGATAGTGTGTATATGTGTGATTGATAGTGTGTATATGTCTGATTGATAATGTGTATATCTGTGATAGTGTGTATATGTGTGATTGATAGTGTGTATATCTGTGATGGTGTGTGTATGTGTGTGATAGTGTGTACATGTGTGATAGTGTGTACATGTGTGATTGATAGTGTGTATATGTGTGATAGTGTGTATATCTATGATAGTGTGTATGTGTGTGATGGTGTGTACGTGTGTGATTGATAGTGTGTAGAATTACAGGCAGTTGCCACCGCGACTGGCTCTAATTTTCATTGATTTCAATATGGTTTTAAAATATCCCTTTGGATATCTTCTTAGACCTTTGAATTGCTTAAGAATTACTCTCTTTCTTATACGTACTTTAGAAATTTGTTTTAAGAATATCTCATGTTTGCAGGTTTTCTCGTTTTCAATTGTTGATTGTAGTGTGATTCTAATATGGTCAGAAAACCTACTGCATATGATTTTAGTTTTCTTAAATCTGCAGAGTGTGTAATGACCCAGCGTTGTTTCTGTGCGAGAGTATTCCCAGTTCCCTTGAAAAGTGTGTTGTTGGCTGGAATGCTAGCGAATGTCAGGTTGATCTTGGCTGATAGTGTTCCGTTCAGTTGGAGGATTTCTGTCTAGTGATCTTGTTACTTACTAAGAGGGTATAGTAGTTGGTTTTCTCATTTCCTGTATGAAATACCTGACAAGAAGCAACTTTAGAGAGAAAAGGTTTATTTTGACTCTCAATTGGAGGAGATAAAAGTCCAGGCAAGAAAGGCATAGTGACTAGGGTGTAAGGTGGCCGTTCACATTGCATTTGCAGTTAGGAAGCAGACAGTGATTAATGTCAGCCTACTTTCTCCATTTTTTTTATTATTTGTTTATTCGTTCCTTGGTTCTTTTGGAGACAAGGTCTCTCTATGTAGCCCTAAGAAGTGGTGGTGCACACCTGTGATCCTGGTCCTCGGGAGTCTAAGGCAAGAAGACCTAGCATTCAGGGCCATGCTTGGCTGCCTAGATTTGTCTCCAAAACAAACAAAAAATCAAGAACATTAATGAAGACTCTATTCAAGGCTGTTGAGATGGGCACAGGCCCTGTTGTAGTGAGGGAAGAAGATTCTGTTCCTGGTATGATACGGGCATGTAAATGTTTTAGCTGACAAGTAAGAGTCCATAGATGAAACATTGCTAAGAGGAAAGGAGGGAGGAGAACCTTCTGGCACTGGGGGATAATGAAGGATAAGTGGTAGTATGAGGGGTCAAGGTGAAGGCAGGGAAGAAGTGCACTGGTGGGCCTAGGGTAGACTGTAAGCCTAATTACACTTTGGTCAAGCAGAGTGTCAGTGTCTGCTGTTTCTAAAAACTTCTAAAATAATCCCCCCAATTGAATTTCTATTATACTATTTTCAATTTTAAAAAGAATTAAAATCTTACAATTTTCTATTCTTAGCTGAGCTTCGATCTTTATCTATTCCTGGAACATACCAAGAGAAGATTACTCACCTGGGGAACTCTCTGATGCGTTTGACATCTCTAAAATCCTTGGATCTCTCACGTAACTCCTTAGTTAGTCTTGAGGTGCGTTTTAGGCTTGTTAAAATTTATCACTATCAGTATCAGAGGAGCATATTTGAATGGTTAAAAAATGCAACATGTTTTGAAGCTGCACAAAGAATGCTTATAAACTGTACATTTAGAATATAACATTAAGTGTTGTATTGTCTAAAGTGTTATGTTGTCTAAAGCTGTGTCTCACCCATCCCATCATATCTTTAACCTACTCCAAATACCAAAGTAATGAACTTTGTAAAGAAGGTGAATTATCTTTAAATTGAATGAAACAAGATCCTAAGGACTAAAGTGTGCATGCCCATCCTTCCTCATCCTTCCGTCTGCTGTGTTTCCTCTTCCTGTACTTCATCTACTCATGGCCTGGCAGTGTGTATCTCGACCCAGTCATGATGACAAAATAATGAGTTCCCCAAAGTTTGTATAAATACTCCTTAGGTCTCAATTCAGGGAGGAGGGCCTTGCCTTGAAAGGAACATACTATATCACTGCCTGGGAAAATATTACTTAGTAGGGACCATTCTTGACTTAGGTACAGGCTCCAGCTTTGGCTAAAACCAAGGGTTGGCTCCTCTCTCAAATCCCAAACTTTAGCCTCCTGATCTGAGTGTGTGCAGAGTAAATGAAATTGTGTAAGTTATATAGCTTGATTCATACTGGCCCTCGAGAGAGAGTTGCTGTGCTTATTACTGTTGAGACTCACAAACCTGTATTTAGATACCCGTGTAGTTGCTGTCCTATATGGAACATAGAACTTCACAAATGAGAACATGTTGCATTGTTAGTTTTTTCTGGTAATGTATATGTTCACTATAAGTATGTTTAAATTGATTGGCTCCTACCATTATCTTATTTTTCATGATGCACTACTTGAGGTATTTTCTCATTAACAGGGCATTCAGCATCTGGTCTTCTTGGAGAGTCTCAATCTCTACTACAACTGTATTTCTTCATTAGCAGAAGTATTTAAGCTCCACTCCCTAACGGAGCTCCAGGATGTGGACTTCCGGCTTAACCCTGTCGTGAAAAATGAGTCTGACTATCGCCTCTTTGTTGTGCACATGCTCCCTAAGCTCCGACAGCTGGGTAGGTGGAAGAGCCACTGTGCTCACACCGTCATATAGTGGAGTCATTTTTGTGCTCCTGTTGTTCCCTGATGGAAGCTGAAGCTGGTTTTTTGCATTGGTGGTCTAAATCCCTGTTGGCTCTGAAGTATCCTTCATCTTCACTGGGTTGGTCTTTCTAGCTAGCCAGCCCAGGCTAATCACCAAGTTCCAGGCCTACTAAGAGACCTTACCTCAAACACAAGATGGCTAGCATTTGAGAAAAGACACCCACAGCAGTTTACATATGACCCCCACATGCACACATACATGCACATGCACTAACAAACACACGTACTCATACAGCACATATACACACACATAACACTACCAACAACAACAACAGCAAAATGCCAAGTTTACGGTCATTCTTTAGTTAATACCTTTAAGTTCCCAGGGTAGTTTCTTGTAGGACAAGGAGCTTGTAAACATTTCCTGACCTTTCTGTTGTTATTGGGGTCAGACCTCTTGTCATAGTGATCATTGGAAACCTTCCCCTTCTGAGCCCAGAGGTCATTAAAGTAATAGAACCCCTGAAGGTCTACTAGAAATATTAGAAAAATAGACCACTTTGCCTGCAAGCAAAGATGCCATTCAAAGTCTTTTGGAAAAAGTGTAGATGCCAATTTTTGGGTTGGTGGGTAAAATGAGTGAAGATACTTGCTGCCAAGTTGATGGCCTGATTTAATTCTGTTCTTTGCAATGGTATATGTGCACCCACACTCATACACATAAATATATTCATAAATTAGACATAATTAAAAAAATAGATGCTGTTTTTTAGTTAACAAGAGCAAAAAGAGACTGATGTGACTTGAGTGTCTGCCTGACCCTTGTATGTAGACAGGCAGGCGTTGGCCAGATCTGAATCAGCCTCACTTTTATACCCAGTACATAAATGTTGGAGAGACATGGTCTGTCAGTCAGTCTTCCCGTAGATAGTCTTCATGCCAGCCTTGCACAACCGTTCCTCAGCCCTGGGAGATGGACACTGTGTAAGACCTGTTCTGTGGGATTATTATTAGTAAGTCAAGAGCTTTCATGAGTGAGCATCAGATTGAACTCATCCATACAGTCTGTCGTGTCTTAGCACCAAGGACTAGAACGTTTTGATTATGAACTTATCTTTCATGTGTAAATGGAATTCAGATACCTTAAACTCCCTTTCTCTGCATCTTGAAGATGTTTCTAGAGATAGCAGAAGAATTTAGCAGCATGAAAGAACATGTTGCTTTTGTTTCATCCTTCTGTAACAGTAAATTAGTGGGGATGAATTAGTCCTTGCAAAACAGTTCTTTCTCTGGTCAGCTGTAGTTTGGTTATTGCCAGAAGTCACCTTTTTAGTAACTCAGTTGGAACTATTTTCTTCAATCCTCTAAAGGTAATTTGAGGACCTGACATAATAGTCCTGAGTAAACGAGCTAGCCTCTAGCCCAACAGGTTTCATTTCCCAAGAGCTCAGCTCCTAGGGCAGAATGGGCCAGTAGCAGTGGTGGGCAGAACTGTCTCGTTTGTGGCTGGTAGTCTGTTGCCCCTGAAGTGGTGACCATGTGTCTCTAGCCTCAGTACAGTTGTTGGTCAAAGGCTAGAGGGTGCTGAGTGCCTGCATCTTCTGTGTCTTGTCCCACAGAGCCCAGCTGCAGCACATTGTGAGTGCTGACAGAACTGTTTCAACCCCACGAAAGCATAGGTGTGTTCTCCTGGGGGCGTGAACACTGTTAGACCACAAGTGCTGAGCTGATGGACTAGGTGCCCAGAGCACATTGTTTAGCTAAAACATACTTGGGATATCTATGAGTAATCTTGAGATTCTTCAGTTTTTAATCACTGCCTTCCCCTTGCCAAAAAAGTTTAGATTCAGAATCATAGAGTTTATACGGAGAAAAAATGTAAGAGGTTCGTACACAGCAAAGGGATGTTAGTGATATTAGAATCACTGGGAAAACCCTGTCCAAAGGCCCTGAATCAACAGGTGCTAGAGGGGGAACTTTGATTCTATACAGGGCCTGGAGAGGGGCTTGGTCCTTGGTACCTATTGTAGGTAGGAATTTGGAAGGCTCTGGAAGTTTTGCATTTGCATTCTGGTGGAGGAGTCCAGGATTTACTGCCTCCGACTGGAAAATAGCTCAGTGTAGACATGTTCTGCTAGAGAAGACACGTGAAACTTTACAACATTGTGGGTTTTTCTCACTCTTTACTATTTTCTATAATTTTGTGCCAAAGTAAATACCATTTAGGAGCTGGCATGGGAACTTCTCCACATGTGCAACTAGAATGCTACTATAAAATGGGAGAGTTCCAGGAGTGACTGAGGGCCTCATCCTCAGGTATTTACATAAGAGGTTCCAGGAACTCTTGGTCAAAGCCTTCTGAGGCCTCAGATCTCTAGTGGGAACATTTGGGATTCTCAGTCCCACTCAGTGTGTTGTAGACTCATCTGTGCAGATTTTTTCTCTTATGTGACAAGAAACATCCAGTGTCTGGCATGCACATATTTAATAAACATTTAAAAAGCATCTTAAATGTACGTGCACTTCATATGTGTCCTACTTTTGCAGCGGGCATTAGCCTGTTCCAGAAGCAGCTCATGGACAGTGAGCTTGGAGGGTATAGGCTAGCCTCTTGGCATTGCACTTGGCATTGTTGGGAAGCCAAGTATAGCCACCAGAGCTCATAATTCCAGGTTGATACATGCCATTTGCTGATGAGAGCTTATGGTTGAGTCAGCCCTGGCACCAAAGTCTTCCTGTCTTGTGAGCTCCAGAGTAGGGGAACTGGGCATGACAACTCTCATGAAAAACATGGCAATCACCTGCCCTTGCTGTTTTCTATAGTTCTTATAAATTTTGTCTTTAGATGACCGTCCTGTGAGAGAGAGTGAGCGAAAGGCTTCTCAGCTTCATTTTGCTTCAGAGAATTCACTGGACTCAAAGCAGAGCTTCTCGGCTGCTGTAACAGCTGGAAGGTATGCACTGATGTAGTTCTGCTCAGAGATGGACTTCAAACTTGCCTGTTGACAGAACATTCAACCATCAGGCATGAATGTCTGTGCGCCAACTGCCCTGGGGATGGAGTAGATGGTGGTGCAGGGTCTGTCTCTCTGTTCAGATGTTTTTTCAATACTACCAACCCATTTGAAACAGGAGAGCTGCTGTGCAGACGGCCATACCACAGAGCCTTGCATTTCTGATCTCTTGGTGTCTCTGGTGTCAGCTTTTTCCTTTATTTTGCTGTTCACATTATGGCACTAATGGAGAACATTAGCATGTCTTGACCCCGTTCTGTATTTTTCTTTTTGTTTTTAAATTTTGTTTTTTTTTCATATATGTATATTGTCTTAGTTAAGGTTCTGTTGTTGATGAAACACTATGTTCAAGGCAACTTGGGGAGGAAAGGGTTTATTTCGGTTTGCACTTACAGTCCATTTACCGAAAGAAATCAGACAAGAACTTAAACAGGGCAGGAACCTAGAGGCAGGAGCTGATGCAGAGGCTATAGAGGAGTGCTGCTTACTGGCTCGCTCTTTAGCCTGTTTTCTTATAGAACCAGGACCACCAGCCCAGGCATGGCACCACCACAATGGGCTGGACCCTCCCCCGTCAATCTCTAATAAAGAAAATGCCCTACAAGCATCAAATGTTATGATTTTCATTTCCATGATGGCTAAGGATGATGAACAATTTTGTTTCTCAGCCATTTGAGATTCTTCTGTTATGAATTCTCTGTTTAGATCTGTACTCCATTTTTTAATTGGATTATTTTTTGGGGGGTGGTGTCTAGTTTCTTGAGTTCTTTATATATTTTGGAGATCTGTCAGATGTGGGGTTGGTGACGATCTTTCCTTTTCAGTAGGCTGCTATTTTGTCTTATTGGCTGTGTCCTTTGCCTTACAGAAGCTTTTCAGTTTTATGAGGTCCCATTTATTGTTGATCTCAGTGTCTGTGCTACTGGTGTTCTCTTCAGGAAGTTTTTTCCTGTGCCAATGTGTTCAAGGCTACTTCCCACTTTGTCTTCTGTCAGGTTCAGCATAACTGGATTTACATTGGGGTCTTTGATCAAGTTTTGTGCAGGGTGATAGATATGGGTCTATTTGCATTCTTCTACATGCCAACATCCAGTTATGCCAGCACCATTTGTTGAAGATGCTTTCTTTTTTCCATTGTATGATTTTGGCTTTGTCAAAAATCAGATGTCCATAGATGTATGCATTTATGTCAAGGTCTTCAGTTCAATTTCATTGATGCACCTGTCTCTTTTTATGCCATTACCATGCTGTTTTTATGATTTTACCACCTTAGTAGAGCTGGAAATTGGGGATAGTGATACCTCCAGAAGTTCCTTTATTGTACAGGATTGTTTAGCTGACCTGGGATTTTGATTTTCCATATGAAGTTGAGTGTTCTTTCAAGGTCTGTAAAGAATTGTGTTGGAAATTTAATGGGAATTGCATTGAATCTGTAGATTGCTTTCGATAAAATGATCATTTTTACTATGTTAATCCTACTGATCCATGAGCATGGAGATCTTTTGATATCTTCGCAAATTTCTTTCTTCAAAGACTTAAAGTTATTTTTTTGTTCTCCTTTTTTTTTATAGTTTTTTATTGAGCTCTACATTTTTCTCTGCTTTCCTCCCTGCTTCTCCCCTCCCCTTCTACCCTCTCCCATGGTTCCCATGCTCCCAATTTACTCAGGAGATCTTGTTCTTTTCTACTAACATGTGGATTAGATCCATGTATGTCTCTCTTAGGGTCCTCATTGTTGTCTAGTTCTCTGGGATTGTGAATTGTAGGCTGATTTTCTTTGTTTTATGTCTAACAGCCACTTACTGCTTTCTGAGTTTTCTGTCCTGCCCAGTTCCTGCAATCGTTAAGTCCCAAAGAAATCACACAGCGGTCTACATTAATCATAAACTGATTGGCCCATTAGCTCAGGCTTCTTATTAACTCTTATAACTTATATTAGCCCATCATTCTTATCTGTGTTAGCCACATGGCTTAGTACCCTTTTCAGTGGCGTAGTCACATCTTGCTTCTTCTGTGTCTGGACAAGACTGCAGAGGGAGCTTCCCTCTTCCCAGAATTCTCCTGTTCTCATTGACCCACCTCTACTTCCTATCTGGTTATCCTGCCTATACTTTCTGCCTACTACTGGCCAATCAGTGTTTATTTAAAACATAATTGACAGAATATAGACAATTGTCCCATACCAACTTATGAATAAGTACATATGATATTTGTCTTTCTGGGTCTGGGTTACCTCACTCAATATGATGTTTTCTAGATCCATTCATTTGCCTGCAAATTTCAAGGTGTCATTTTTTTTTCTGTCTTTTTTTTTAGAATTTTTTAGAATTCCTTTCCAAGATCTCTCAGGTTTTATGTGGATTTAGCTGGCCCACATTAGCAGGCCATTCTGTAGTCTGAGGCTGCTCATTCATTTCCCTGCCACCCATACCCAAAATAATCACACATAAACTGTATTATTACAACACTGCTTGACTTACTAGCTCACACTTCTTATTGACTAGCTCTTATATGTTAAATTAACCCATTTCTACTAATCTGTGTATTGCCACGTTATTGTGGCCTACTAGTAAGGTTCCTTTTCGTGTCTGTCTCCTGCTGTGGTTATATGGCTTCTCCCTGATTCCGCCTACCCTCTCCTCTTCTGTCTGCTTGGAATTCCCGCCTTGCCCTATTCTGTGCTGCAATATGCCCAAAGTAGCTTTGTTATTAAATAATTGTATTCACAGCATGCAGAAGGGAATCCCATATCACCTGCAACTCACGACTTTGTCATGCATGGTCAGTTGTGCTAGGTAAGACCTTCTTCCAGGTCACTTTGTAACGAGAGCCATCCTAGCACTGAACTCTTCCCAAGAGAGGTGTGAGGGTCCCCTGTGGACTGTAGTATACATGGGCCTGCTGGCACTGAAGACTTTTCTTTTCCCTTGCAGACCACACCACTCCAGAACCAGATGTGCTGATACTTCAGCTAAGAAATGCTTAGTTATGGATGCTGATGATGAGGCTGTCCTGAACCTCATTGCTGAGTGCGAGTGGGACCTGAGCAATCCTCCTGGGAGCACGAGCTCCAGCCAGAAGGAACACGAGGCTGACCTCCATTATGCCCAAGGTGCACTGCACAGCACAGTGAATCTCCATGGTTTAGGGAGGCTTTGGCTTCAGCGTGGACTTTTGATGCTTATAGTATTGACTTTGAATACTAGTATTTGGTTTATGGAATTAGAAAATGGAAAGTTAATGGATCTAATTTGAGTCTAGTCATAATTACAGTTGTTTGAGTATCAATCTCTCTCCGAGCATAGAATAAATACCTGATATAAACAAGAAAGCTAGATGTCCACAGCACCTGAGGAGGAGCAGTCAGTCACTCAGCTCGTACAATATGCCAGTGCTCAGGAGCCTGATAGGCCACTGTACCTACCAGGATCTCAGAACTTCTCACACTGTGAGCTTAATGCGCACCAGAGACTTGCTTATAAGCTTTAATGTCTTCTACTCCATGCTGGGGCCAGCAGCTCCTGAGCCATATCTTCCCAATACTGCTGTCCTCAGTCCTCTTAATCCTAGTTCTCATAGGCGTGTGTTTGTTTATAATTTTACCTTGCCTTTTCCTGACGGGTTTTGATGCAGTGTTGGCCATTTGTGTGCTTTCTCTTTAGTACTTTAAAGCCTTCCTGCCCTGTTGTTTAATGGGCTTATTTCTTTTTTCGGTGTTGAATCATATAAATTATGTGTGGATTTTAGATCTGAGACCTTTCTCTCAATCCATTTATTGATTGCCTTTTCACTTTCATAACAGTGATTCAAAGAACCAATAAGTCCAAGCAGCCATTTTTTCTATACTAGAATGTGCTTGTGTCTTTATGACGCTTTTCCGCCTCATGCTATAGAAAGACAGTCCATATTGAAACAGTACTGAGTGGTGTAAAAGGGCTGCATTACTGGCCACGACCTCGCCCTGTAGTTGTTTGTTTTTTTTTCTTTGTCTTGTTTTGTTTTTAACTCTTTTTCTTTGCTCTTTTGGGGCCCTCTACCCAGCTCCCAAGTAATCACAAGGAGACTTATTCTTTCTTATTATGCCCAGTCTTAGCTTGGCTTGTTGCTAGTCAGTTTTTCTTAACTTAAATTATCCCAGCTACCTTTTGCCTCGGGGCTTTTTACCTTTTTCTATTTATCTTTTCTTCTTACTCCATAGCTCTACGTGTAGTGGGGTGCCTGGCTCCTGGTGCCCTCTCCTCTCTCTCACAGTGTTCTCCTTGTTTTTATTCTTTCTGTCTGCTAGTCCTGCCTATTCTTTCTCCTGCCTAGCTGTTGGCTGTTCACCAAACATCTGGTGTTTTAGGCAGGCAGAGTCACACAGCTTCATAGAATTAAACAAATACAACATAGAGAAATGCAGCACATGTTTTCATCATTAAACAAATGTTCCACACATAAATGAATGTAACACATCACCAACTAGTACTTCACATCTCCCATTCTAGTTACTCTGAGCATCTATTGAAAGAGTCGTCATGTAATAACTCTGGACATTAGTTGAGGTAATTGACTTGCATCTACTTCTGTAGCACATGTAATAAAAACCAGGAGACAAAAACTGGGGTTCAACCTGAAGATCAGAAAAGCAAAACAGCCTAGTTCTTACCTCTGCCTCAGTCTGAAATGGCAATCCTTCCTTCAGGAATCTCAGAATGAGACTGTGTGTGAGAGCTGTCTCCTCCTATCTTATATTCCTCTCTAGGGCTGGGATTGAAGGTGTGCACCACTACCACCTGGTTTCTATGGCAATCAGTGTGACTACTGGGATTAAAAGTGTGTGTCACCACTGTCTGGTTTGTAAGGCTGACCAGTGGGGCTGTTTTACTCTCTGATTTTCAGGCAGGCTTTATTTATTAAAATTCAAATGAAATATCACTACATATTTTCTGATCTGTAAAACTGTCTTCCATACACTGCCACCCATCTTGGTTACTTGGGATTGAGGCTTGTCACCCTTGACCACTGCTGTTTTCCTGTCTGTAGAACTACCTGGAATTCACTGCAGTGCTGACTGCTCTATTAACATACACTGTCTTCTTTAATTGATTTAAGAAAAGTATATTTTATAAATTTCATATTTTCTCACAAACTTAAAATATAATTTTAATGAAGTAAAACTTAAAATGTTTTTAATAAAATAGAGCCTGGACATCTGTTGAGTCCTTTGTCCATCCAGCACCAGTGTGGGGACTCAGTGAGGAGAGGCCACGAGAAGAAGAAAGGCAACCCCAGAGGGTGCTGTTCGGGCCATTTATCTCAGGACCATCTCTGTGGGGAGCTCGCCCCACAGCATGGAGTGCCAGAGGCCTTCCATGTGAACATGCAGCAAGCCCGCTTCACTGCACACCCAGGTGATCAGTTACACAGTGTTTGATACAACTCTGACATTTTTTTCTGGTATCTTTATACATATACTTCATATTCTATATGAAGTTCTGAAATATCATTGAAAAGGATTTGGCACATTGGAATTTATTTTAGACTGCAAGTTTGTAAATTTCTTGGTATTTTCCTACTGTGCACACATGTTCTTACTGTGCCTCTTATATTTCTTCCTATTCCTATCTAGCCCCATAGGCACACATTTTTTTTCTAAATACACAGGCCAAGCTCATTACAGTAGCTACATTTTTAATACAAAAGATGAGGAAAATTAAATAAGTTAATTGAGAGTACCATGAGCATGTATAGTTTGAGTGTGAAAACTTCCCACATAAGTGAACTTGTTATCTTGAGGCCTCTCTTGTTTTCATCACGTTTGAAGTACAATGGTCAGGGATGTGGCTGTCTAGAATTCTGGGCTGTGGCTAAGCCAGGGTCATGTCCCTGTTCAATAACTTCCTACTTTCATTGTTCTTCCTGAGAGAAGAGCATGTCTACCCCTCCACGAGGGTATTAGTGAGCAAGTACAGAGGATGTCCCATTTCATTTGGCCATTTCAGCCCATTTAATTTCTTGGAAATGCACATATGTGATATTGTATCGAGAACTTTGTTGACACATCTGTGCCGTTGAGCTGATGCTGAGCAAATGCTCACAGAAGTCTGGTACTTCACAAGGAGGGATTCTGTCTACTTCATCCAGGCACTCCTCAGAATCCATGTTTTATCATAGTTGCTCCCTGTGTGTCTTCCTCCTTCACCTTGTATTCCTTCCTCTTGTGTGTCTTTTTGTGTATGTGTGTGCATAGATACTCATGTGTTTGTTGCATATGCCTGTGTTTGATTGACACACATCCACATTTATAGGTATGTATTTTTTAATTATAATATCAGCCTTTACATCCCAAAGAATTCAGTTTAATGAGGATTCTGCTCATTCTCTCTGTATTATAGACTCTGTGGATGTTGAGGACTGTGGTTCATCTTCTCAGAAGTCAAGTTTGTCATCACAAAATATATTAAATCCTTTGCCTGTTCCTGAGAAGTACAGAAAGCGAAGGATGCCTGGTGGGAGATTCCAGGTGCCTTCAGACCGGGAGTGTCTGAGCTGCTTAGAGAGGCCTGATGGGCCCTCCAGCCTCGAGGACAGTCTGAGCATACAGGATGGCTTGGAGAGCCACAGTCAGGTGACCATGTCCCATCCTGAGGCTTTGGAGGCTGAAGAGCAGACGTCTCATGGCACAAGTGACCCCAGAGTGGTGAGCAGCTGGAGTAGAGGGGTCAGCAGCTAGAGATGTGCCTCATTCCCACCAAGTGTGTTCCAACGCTTGGTGCTTGATCCTCATGCTGCGTTGTTGTAGTGCTCTGGTTCGGAGGGGCAAGCACAGCCACACAATAGCCTGATTTCCCCATATTTAATTTGTCTCAGAACCTGGAGTCAGGCTTTATGGCAGGCTGAATCATCAGTGACTGTCATGAAGGGAGAATCCTGGAAATACACATTATGGTTTCTGAAAGATTCATTCCTGCTGAGGGGATTAAGACCTCCCATACCCTCAAGGACCTACAGGCTTCAGGAACTACTTCATTTGGCTTAGAAGCTACAGGGGATTCAGGGTGGTTGATTCTCTGATCGGTCCTAAGCTGCACCTGAGGTAAAGCAAGGGCAGCTTGTACCAGACCTTTTCTACTGGGTCACCACCCAGTTCCCAGATCATGACATAGAAACTTCTCGTTAGTCACAAGGCTCAGCTCGTTTCTGGCTAGCTCTTTTTAACCTAAAGTAACTTGTTTCTCCTTATCCACCTTTTGCCTTGGGACTTTTTACTTTTCTCTCCTCTCTGTCTTGCGTTCACTACTTGTATCTGACTGGCCACTGCCTGGCTTCTTCCCTGGGTGTGCCCCTCGCTCTGCTCTGCTCTGCTCTGCTCTGCTCTTCTCTTCTCTTCTCTTCTCTTCTCTTCTCTTCTCTTCTCTTCTCTTCTCTTCTCTTCTCTTCTCTCCTCTCCTCTCCTCTCCTCTCCTCTCCTCTCCTCTCCTCTCCTCTCCTCTCCCCTCTCCTCTCCTCTCCTCTCCTCTCCTCTTCTCTTCTCTTCTGTCCTTTTTAAGCCTAGATTTCTCCTTTTATTCTCTGCCTGCCAGCCTCACCTGTTCTTTCTCTGCCTCGCTATTTTTTGTTTAGTTCTTTATTAGACCAATCCGGTCCTTTAGGCAGGCAGGATAAAACAGATCCAACACATCTTTACATAATTAAACACACTTCCTTACATCGTTAAACAAAGAAGATAAAGGCTAGGTGGTGCACGCCTTTAATCCCAGCACTAGGTAGGCAGAGGCAGGTGGATCTCTATGAGTTTGAGCCTGGTCTACAGAGTGACTTCCAGGACAGCCAGGACTGTTACACAGAGAAACTCTGTCTTGAAAAACCAAACAAAAAACTTAAACAAATGCAGCATAAACAAATGTAACACATCTTTACACAGTTAAAGTAATAATCCATAGTATAAACAAATACAGCACATCTTTGCCCAGTTAAAATAATATTCCACAACTGAAGCTGGCTATTTGGAGCCACAGTTAAGGTCACGCCTAGGATTTCTGAACCATGTTAGAGGCAATGGCTAGTTGACTACAAAGTGTTAGTTCTGGGGGATGCTTTCGTATGTGATGTGACCATGATGATTTGGAAAGAAGGAAACAGGAGAGGGAAATGCTGTGCTCTCACAGCCTCGTGAGGGGCCAGCGTCACAAACGGGTATCTCTTCTCAGCTCAAGGTTCTGCCCCTGGACACACTTCTTCCACAAAGGAGACAAGCGTTTTATACTCAGTCATGTTGCACTAGAGACCTAGTTTTCACAGTGAGCGCCAGCTTAAAGCCGATCTTGTGATTGTGTCTTCACCATAGCTGTCTCCTAAACTCTGCTCAGCGGTGGTGCCTGAGCAGAGGCCTGCTCTGGAAGTGGCACTCCTGGAGGCGCTCCTCGACCTAATAGACAGGTGTGCAAGCGGCAGTGGGTCCCTGCATGGCAATGAGGCGTTCCTTGGTGAGTCCTGGCAGCATCTACTAAGCTGTCTGCTGTCTTCTGATTTTCTATGTGCATCTGGTTGAGGACAGGGCCCTGGATTCACAAAACTTCAGGTATGTGATAGGAACCCAACAAGACTGTCTTCCCTAGTGAAGATTAGGTAGGTCTGTTTGCTTCTGCAGACTGGAGATTCAGCATGAGAGTGTGCTGGGGTTCCTCATGCAGTGTTGTGCTCCAGGCCTAGGAGATGACTGCCTTCTCCAGAAGCCTGGGCTACAAGGAGTGTCCTTTTGGAGTCAGGCTCATCAGCACTGAGATGCCTAAGCTACTGCCTGCCATGGCTCCTGTCTTAGTCAGGGTTACTATTCTGTGATAGAACACATAACCATAACCAAAGCAACTTGAGGAGGAAAAGGTTTATTTGGCTGACTCTTCCACATCACAGTTTATCCTTAAAGGAAGTCAGGACAGGAACTCAGAGTAGGAACCTAGAGGCAGGAGCTGATGCAGAGGCCATGAAGGGTGCTGCTTACTGCCCTGGCCCTCTTGGCTTGTGTCTTCCAGAACCAGCACCACCCACCACATGGGCTGGACCCTCCACCATTAATCACTCATTAAGAAAATGACCTACAGGCTTGCCTACAGCCCCATCTTATCAGGCATTTTCTTAATTGAGGCTCCCACAGATGACTTTAGCTTGTGTCGTGTTGACTTAAGGTACCAACGGTTCCTGACCTCCCCTTGAGGTTGTGACCTTTTTACTTATTCCTGGATCAGAAACCCTGGGAACAACTGTACATTTATCCTTTAACCAGGGCCAGTGTCTTGCTGCGGCAGAAGTGATCCATGGTAGCTGTGATGCTCACAGTGCCCTTGCCTCCTTGGAGTTTTCAGGCCAAGCTACATCTTCCTGATGTGGCTACCTAGTATATGTGTCCTTCTCTCAAAAGTTGCCTTTTTTGTAATTAAAAGCCATGTTCATTCTTAGCTGGGCAATGGTGGCAAACACCTTTAATCCCAGCACTCAGGAGGCAGAAACAGGTGGATCTCTAAGTTCGAGGCCAGCCCGGTCTACAAGACAGGCTCCAAAGTTCCAGGACAGGCTCCAAAGCTACAGAGAAACCCTGTCTCAAAAAAACAAAAAACAAAAAACAAACAACAAAAAAAAAATGTTCATTTCTCATAGAGAGGCAATCAAGGTACCAGTGTCTGGGTTTTTGTTGTTGTTGTTTTGTTTTCTTTTTCTGTCCTCTGCTTTCAGATCACATAGCTATGTAGTGAGGATTTTTTTTATATTCCATCCTGTAGCTATGATATGGTAAATCTACTTCCTTTTGACTTCTAGCTCAGGCCAGACATGTTTTGGCATCTCTTCAAGAGTTCACAGTGGCTCGGGACAGTTCAGCACTTGAAAAAGAAGGAACTAGTTACCTGTCTCTTGAAAATAAGTCCCTGCAAAGCCGCCTTGCTGAGCAGCAGCAACAGTACACTGCCATAGTGAACAAGGTGACGGCAGAGCTCAACAATTCGAAGAGGGAGCTGGTGAGCTGTGTTCCCTGCTGTTTTCATTTGTTCACGGGTCGGACCTCAGGACAAGGGCAGTGCTGACTCTTGTGCTCACAGCTACTGTTGGGCTCTCTTGTTGGAAATATTATGTTAAGGAATGTTATTTTGTTTAATTCTGTGAAGCTGTGATATTTTGCCTGTCTAGAACACCTGGTGGTCTAATAAAGATCTGAATAGCAAGGCAGGAGAAAGGATAGGCAGGACTGGCAGGCAGAGAGAAGATATAGAAGGAGGAGAACATCAGGGGTCAGACATCAGCTACACAGCAGTCCATGAAGTAAGAGTAAGATTTACAGAAGTAAGAGAACAGGAAAAGCCCAGAGGCAAAAGGTAGATAGGATAATGTAAGTTAAGAAAAGCTGGCATATAACAAACCAAGCTAAGACCAGACATTCATAACTAAGAATAAGTCTCCTGTGATTTATTTGGGAGCTGGGTAGTGGCCCCGCAAAAAGAGCCAAAAGATAAAAAGCATCATAATACTACATACACTCCCCCTTGCTGCTCCAGGACCAAGCAGTTTCCCCTATTAGCAGTTCTTATCTCCAGGGCTTCCCCTGACTGTCTCACACCCAGATCCCAGAAAACAGTGAACTTAAGATGGTATTGTTGCTGATTGTCAAACTTCTGCCTGGCACTGTCTTCTCAGAGAGTCTGGATGGAAGAGATGGGAGAAGAAGAAACAAAACAGACTCATTTTGTCACTGGCATAGGCTACATAAGGTTCCGATTAGCTAGGTCATCTGTGGTCTTTGCTTTGTTCTGCACCAACCAGACAACATTTGAAGGTTGTGTCTGAGCCTAGGGGACTCTCTAACAGCAGGTGGTACCCAGAAAGAACTATACAAATGTGGATGTCACCTCTAATTTGATTCTTATGGGATTGTATCATGTGTACAGTATTGGGGTGCCCTCATTTCTTTTAAGCTTATGCTGATAGTTACATCAAAGGCAGAAGGGTCAGACCACAGAGCCACCTGCGAATGCACCCACCAGAGCAAGTATTAATTGTCTGCTTAGCTCTGTGGCTTTGTAGTTCATAATAACCTCAAAATGAGCGTTGAACCAACATGCTGTGGCCAGCCTCTGCAGTAGAATGAATGATACCAACTAAGCACAAATCGGTTGCCAAGGCTCAGCACTCATCTGAAAGCCTGGCACGTCAGGATGTTCTTCCAGGCTCCCTCACAGAAAGTCTTGATGCCATGTGGGCCTCTGTATGGGCTGCGGGAGTTTTTATGATACCAAGAAGGGGTTGCCAGTCTGTCCCCACTGTCAGTGTGTATTGGTCCATCCCTGGCAAGGTGAGCACCTAGGAACTGTGTGCACTCTAAGCCAGTGGGTTCCTGTAGCAACTGCCTGGCTTGCCTCCTGCACTGGTCACTTTATCTGTAAAATAGATGGATGTACCGCATTATTTCTGGGGGAAAGTTTAAAGTTGCCTTTAAATATCTTCATTTTGGGAAGATCTGCATAAGAGATGACACTTGAAACCCCAATTTAGAGAAAATGAAAGAACAATGAGCTGACACAGATGGTCTCTGGTATTGAAAACACTGGATCTCCTGCATGTGCACAAAACTCTGGCATCTGGAGAGAGCCCTAGCCCAGTGTGCCTTGACTGCTGTGCTGTGCAGAGTATTGTCTCTGTGGGATTGTTGGCCCCATGGGACACAGCATAGTCTTACAAGAAAACCATAAAGTAATACCTGTTAAGGCAGACACAGTATGAGTCAGCCCTGCTGGATCTGGAACAGCGGCACCCAGAAGTCAGTATTGCCCTGCTGCGGTATGGAAGTAATTCACAGAAGTACCTGTGCTAAAGGGCAACCTTAAGTGTCAAGACAAGAACAGGCTTAAGTTCCCTGTCGGTCTGAGTGAGTGATCTGAGGCACTGGGAAAGTGCATGTAAGGGACCAACAAGAGCCACTGTCCAGAGTGACTATTGTCAAGTCCTGGTGAGTTTCACAGGGTAGAGACCTTAGCCTGCATGGAGCTTCCTGTGACATCTAGAATTATATCTTGAGGCAGAGAAAGACTCTGCCCCTAACCTGGTATCCTTAATACAGTTTCCAAGCCAGATGTACCTGCCCAGTCTGGGTGTGTTCAGTCCCTGTGGCCTGTGCCCATCACAGCCTGAGTGTGATTGAGAGGTAGGAGCTGGCACAACCCACTGCTGAGAGCTAGTGCCAGAAAGAAGAGCCTGTGTGGGTCCTCATTGTGAGGTGCTTTGAAAGAAGATTTAAAGCTGCAGCTGAGAGAAATGGTTTTGGGTCCGGCAATCAGCCTTTAATAGGAGGCATCATGCCTAGTGGGTATAGACGTGCAGAGAGGGTAGGGTTGAAACACACAGAATAAGCTCACCCATTTCCTGTGAACTGGACTTGGGTCTTGATGTGATGCAAGTCCTCACTCCTCTTCTCCAACCCCTAAGCTGCAGGCAGGTGAGTCCAGATGTGTGGGAGCCCTGACCTCACAGGCAGCTAGCATGACTCCTATCAAGAAGCCTGGTAACTTGTGCCACCTTTGCAACGGCTGCTATTATGAGGCTGATGGTAGTCTTGGCCTCTGTCTTATGTTCCATTCTTAACAGCCCAGTTTGTGTTCAGCATTTTCCCTGCCTATGAAGATAGTAAGGAGCCCAGGCCTCAGATACTACTTGTGATAGGGGATTACTGATAGAAATCCACACATTCGTAGACTGAGAAGCCATATCATAATGGAGTTCCCATAGGAAGGATGCTAATAATATTGACTAGTATAGAGGCCCTGAGGATCCCTGTGACAATGGGATCCTCATGGAAAGAGAGGGCCCAGTCATTGCTCTTCTAGTATTGCACCTGAATTCCTCTGGTGTATACCCCATTCCCTTCTCTCCTTTCCTTGTGTCCTTTTGCTTCCAGTGGGTAATTAGGGTACCCTACTGGTGGGATAATATGCTGGAGAGTATGATTCTTGCTTTGTATTGTGATTCAGAATTATACTACAGCACATTCTCCCACCAGTAGGGTGTCCTACTGATTGTCCAGAATTTTATTCCATTCATTAAATACACTGACTAAACTTGACTTGTCTGCATTTGTTTTCTGTGCCTCTAGGACACATTGAGACAACATTTAGACAAATCTTTGGAAGAGAATAGTAACTTAAAATCTCTTCTGTTCAACGTGAAAAAAGAAGTAAAAAACTCAGATACTTCAACTGCATTAACTTTGCAGATCACTGGTAAGTACACAGTTTATTTGGTAATACTGCTTGGTAAAATTTGAGTGTTCATGCATGCATAGGGTAGACATTGTTCTAAGTCACTTTATGCCAGGAATTGGAATCAGTAAATACTGACAGAGTAGGTCTGGAGACCCAGCCCAATTGTTAATGGCTACCTCTAGCAGCTCATCTGGGGCAGAATGTGGAGGTAACTTTTTGGCTGTTTCCACCACCATCTGAATCTTGACTCTTCTTGAAACTTTAAAGAGCCAGGAGGTAACTGCCTCGTGCCTGATTCTTTGCACCATAGCCTTTGCCACATGAAGCTCCATGGGTGGGGAGTGCCACCCAGGTCTAACTCTTGAGTAAAGGTCTCCTCAGATCTCTTGCTGCTCACTATCAATGGGCTGTTTGTTGAATAATAAAAGTTCTTTATTTTCCTTTTTTTAAGTTAGAGGGGATTTTTGTTTTGTTTGGGGAAGATATCTTTCCTCAGGTGCCATCTCATTTTATTTATTTTTCTCTTTTGAGATTATAATATGTCATTTTTCCATTCCCTTTCCTCCCTCAAGACTCTCCCATATACCACTTTCTTTCAAATTCGTGCCCTCCTTTTTCATTCGTTGTTGTTTCATGCATATATATGTATGTATATATACTCCCAAATATAACCTGTTCAGTCTTAGAATGTTACTTGTATGTATGTTTTTAGGGCTGACCATTTGGTATTAGGTAATTTCTCTGGGAAAGACTATTCTCCTACTCCCAGAATTCCCTAGTTGGCTATAGTTCTTTGTGTAGGGTTTAAAGCTTTGTGGTCTTTCCCCATCCATGTAGGCATGTCTGTTGTTCATCTCATGTTTAAGCAGTCATGTTGACAAGACTTTATGGGTGTAGCTTCTGACATTACCAGGAGACACAGTCTCATAGCAAGCCCCCTGATCCTCTGGTTCTTACAGCCTTCCCCAGCCCCCTCCCTTCCACAATGTTTTCTGAAACTTAATTGTGGTGAGTTGTTTGTAGATGGGATCTACAGTTTTGCATTCTGACTGGCTGTTGTTTTCTAGAATCGTCTCCATCTGTTGGAAAGCGATGTTTCCTTGATAAGGAGTGAGGGCTACACTTATCTGTGGCTATAAGGACAAATAAGACGTAAAGTGTAGTTAGGGATTATGCTGGTTTGGTAAAGTGATGGTTGTTAGTTTTCCTCCAGGATTCATGACTTCACTAGCCCTCAGTAGTTGACTAGGTTTCCAGTACCAGGCATGGTTTCCATCTTGTTGAGTGGGTCTTAGATCCATAATGAGAGCTATTGGTTGCTGCCCCGGTGTGCATGCCGTACTTAGGGCTAATTGTACCATGCTAGTCGGTTCTGTGAGACAGACCTGTGTTGTTCTAGCCTTGCCCTCAGTTCTAGTGTGATGCTCTTTATTGCTGATCTAACATGAGTTTTCTGACGTTCTGTAATTCTGACTCAGGCTGCTCTTTATTTCTTGTCTCATTTTCTGTTTGTCTTTACTCATTTTAAATGCTGGGTGGACGGTGTACCTGTTTTGTGGACCTGACTTTCGAGAACTGTGATTCCTCACACTCCTGCTGTGGCTGCAGGCTTTTCTGACACTCATTTTACATGACACTTGTCCTCTGTGATTTCACGGAGATAGCACCTTTTCTGACTGTATGGATCAGAAATACTACTTCTTTTGGGAACTTTTTGGTCCCTCCCTTCCTTCTCTCTGCTGTCATGGTTTGCTCAGCCTTTTCCAATAGCAGTTGTTTTTCCCAATGAGGGACCTGTTCTCAAAAGGATTGGGCTGACCAGCTCCTTAGATTACACAGAACACCTGGTCTCCCCCTCACTAGCAAGGTGAAACCTTCGTTTAATCTACCATAGTCCTGTTATTGACCCAGGAAAATGGGTCTCTGGGGACGCTTCCACTTTGTATCTGTCAGATACCCACTAATGGCAATTACCCCCCTAGACATAGACATCATACACTACCATACCTCTGGGACTTGGCCTAGTCCTTTGGATTACAGACTTGAGACTCCTGTGGGGTTTGGGTTTTCTCTTGAAGTTTGGTTAAAGGCTGCCCCTGCTGTCTTCCCTTTGACCCATGTTCTTGGGGAGGCTGTTATCTTGTCACAAATCATCACAGATGTTTAGACACTGCTGATTCCTGAGAACTGCATGCCAGTGCCGTTGTCGTCATTTGCCATACTTTTCTTTCTGGCTTTCTTGATGTTACTGATACTGTATAGTTTCATAGCCTTGTGTCTTCATATGGATTTATCTATATCCTTTGTTCAGATGTAGGGAGTCAATAAATGTGGTATCTCTTTTCCCCTTGAGTTGAAAACTCAGAAATAATAAGAGTCATGTAGATTGAAAGAGAACACCTGCTCTGGCACTGGTAGGAAGGAATCAGTGGATACATCAAATGTGTGGCTACCACAGACTTCATAATGCTTCTCCCTAAGCCATAGGTTCCCTTATGGGTGCAGGTTGCTTCCTGAAGAAGGAGACTCTGCAGGCAGATTGAGTGGAGGAGTCTATATCTGTCATCACCATCTGCTTCCACATAGGGATGTGGCTCCTCAGGGTACCATCTTTAGGGTATCAGGAGTAGGTAGGAGGGGTATTAGTTCCCATTGACGGAGACATATTGCAGAAATGCTGTCATCATCCAGAAGCAAAGGAAACATGGTGAAATTGCCTTGCTGAGAAAAGGTACTAAGTCATACGTCTAAACATAGATAAGAATTATGGACTAGTTTAAGTTGTAAGAGGTAGTTAGTAATAAGCCTGAACAATAGGTCAAACAGTTTATAATTAATGTAAGTCTCTGTGTATGTCTTTGGGACTGAACTGCACGGGACCACATGGGTCAGTAACTTCCGTCTACAACAGATGTTGCCATGATACTCTTCACCCCCATCTTTAAGCCTCTGATTGTCTTTTTCCAGCTTTAATTTAAACCAGAAGGGTCAAAATGTGTGAATGAACATCACTGCTTAATACCACTTTCTCTCTTCCTCCCTCAGGACTTCAGGCAAGTATGAAGCAGCTCTCAGGGGAAGTTGTGGAGCTAAAGCAGCACTTGGAGCACTATGATAAGATCCAAGAGCTCACACAGATGTTACAAGAGAGCCACAGGTCCATCTCTGAGTGGGGCACAGGGGGAGGCTGAAGCGCGGGTGGTCAGCACTGAGAAATAGCTGGCAGTGTCTCTCAGGAGTTGGTGTTCAGGGCCCACACGCATTGAGTATCAATGGTCCCTTCTTGGTAAAAATGGAGATGATGTTGACTACAAGGAGTGTACTCTGAGATACAGACTGGAGTATACAGCCTGAGGTATGGATCCTGAGGTGAACACCCTGAGGTGTGTATGAACCAGGAAGTATGTAAGTGCATGTGAGAGATGGTGTGGTGTGATACAGTGTTCTCCCCTGGATCATGGATCCTCTGGCACGTCTTTGCCTTTCACTGCAGTCCATGGAAATTGTATTTCTACTTCTTGCTGTGTGGGTAGTCAAAGGGGACTAAGAATGTTGGGTTGGGCAAAGCGGACCCTCGCTTTATTGAGGAAGTTTCTTCTGGAAGGAGGCAAGAGCCTGAGTGAGAACAGGTCATGAGAGCAGCCCTATTCCTGGGGCCTCCACCTGGGAGGGCTGGCCTGTAGTCACTGTTACCACTCTTTCCTCCTTTGTCCCTTCTAACCCTTCTCATTGGTCCCTTACTAGGTGACCACATTCCTTTATGTGGGTCAAGCTAAGTAAGCTCTCCCTTTCAGTCATCACAGGTCTGGGTTACAGTAGTAAGAGGGAAAGGCTCTTGGCAGAGGAGACTGAGCCAAGACTTAGTAGGGAGGAATGGAAGGAAGGAATCTGAGTTACTAATTTAGAGGCAAAAACAATAACAGGCAAAACAATATACTCTTGGAATCCAATGGGCCATCTGTGGTACATCCAGTGACATTGGTGGTTGAACTCTCAACATCCTGGCCCAGATATGGGCTGAAGAAGGTGCAGAACTCTGAAGAGAGTGGGGTCAGGCTTTCGTCCACTCGTGTGCATGCCAATGTTATTCAGCAGTCATTTCTGTGGTTTAAACAAACAGGACCAGCACCTGCTTCATAGATTATTCAGTGGGGTGACTGTCTTCAAAAGTGGCAGAGATTAGCGTTGCCTTGCTTTATCTAAACTTGTGATAGTATTCTCTGTGGCCACCTGGGGGAACGGAACAGTACTGAGAAATTGTGAAAAGTGCACTGGCACTTGTGAATCCAGCTCTGCTCTGTGCTGTTGCTGCGTCACGGTTGACCTGTACGACTAGGAACTAGAAGTATTGGGTCTTTCTAGAGTCAGAACATGGCTTTATTAGCTATAAAGGTTATTATTGCCTTGTCATAGAAATGTGGTATGTTATTTCAGTTATTCCTAAATTCAGCTCACAGTGACCAGCAGTGCCTTTAGAAAACTTGCTCAAGCCAAGGGGTCGGGTTGCACCCCATGTATGGTATGGAAAAGTCATATACAGGGACAGTAGCCAGTAAGAAGTGGAAAATAATGGAGCCATGAACAAGTGTTGGCCTTGGCACTGCTGCAGTTGGACAAACCTGGCCAGAACAAGGGTCTGGGATCCTTCCTGCTGTGGATTTCAGTTAGGCTGTGGGAGTTGGGACTCAGCAGGCTGAGTACTGGGAGGGGTTCCGCAATTAATCTCCTTTTCTCCTCCAGTTCCCTGGTCAGTACGAATGAACATCTCCTGCAGGAGTTGGGCCGTACCCGGGCACAACACAGAGCTGAGGTAGAGCAGATGCACTGGAGCTTCCAGGAGTTTAAGAAGACCACTGCCCTGTTCCCGCGCCATAGTTCCCGCCTCGGTGGCCGCCAGTCCTGCTAGCTGTTCTCTCCTTCATCAGCTACAGCTCCAGAGTTGCACCTGGGCATGCATCTATCTGCATTCCTGGAGAGACTGTAATGACCTTAGGGTCCTTCAGATGTGTTCATGGTCTCTGGAGAGACTGTAATGACCTTAGGGTCCTCCAGATGTGTTCATGGTCTGAAGTTCAGCTTGCTTAATGTGTCCTAATGTGGTAAAGTCAACCCTGGGGCTTTGCCATATTTGAAACACATCCTGTTTTAAAGTAGTATTTTCCTAATTCATGAAAGTTTTATATAATTAAAATAAGTTTTCATGTGACAAGCAGTCCTTATTTAAAGAACTATTAATATTGTTATGTTTAAGAAGTAAACATTTTACATGGCTCTTTATAAATTATAACTCATTTTCTCATTTAATTCTTCAATAAAACAAGTTACATACAATAAGTAACAGTAAGAAATAAGTTCCAAGTTGTAATACAAATAGCACTTATAAATATGAAAAACACTTTAAGAATTTGTATAATGTTAACATGTCATAGTTAAAAAAAAAATCTCCCCACTCCCTACCTCACCCTTTGCTTGCAATAACTGCAAATAAGCAGACTATTCAGCCAAAAGCGAGGGGAATAATTAAATATACACTGTACAAAATGAAACCCAGATAACTGGATATGTGAAGGGTGCTCATTAGAAAAGGCAAAGTTGATCCACCAGGAAAATGCTCCTTCTGGTGTGAAGCCCGTGCAGACAGAGCTGGTGCTGCCGAGTACGGTCACTCTGGGGACTGCTGGGGTGTCTAGAAAAGCTATTGTGAATGTGCTGAAGGAAACATGAACATAGTGGAAGTAAAGCCTCACTAAGAAAGGATTCTGAATATCTGAAAGTTTTTAAGCATTGTCTTGGTGTCTAAATATTAACACTTGGACTAGGAGTGCTTCTCCATGTAGAGCGCCTGCCGGACATACAGGAGGCTCTGAAGGGGGCAAATAAAAACATGAAGCACAGGAAGATCTACACTTTTCTCATTAGGAATACTCCTTTTATTTTCTAATAGTGTTTCCGAGAGAACTTTCTAACTTTATTCTGGTTCTGTGGATCAGTCTTTTAATTATTAACAAATTTTGGGTACTATTTTTTTTCTCATTTTCCCTTTGTGGTCTTTGTAATACTGTAAAATAAGTATCTGGTTTGTGTTGGTTTTCAAACACACAGCACCTAGAACCTTTAGACTCTCTGAAGGGTGGTATCATTGTGTGCTAATGAGTTGTCTTCTGGCCAACTCCAAGTGGCTTCAGGATGTGGCTGGCCACTGGAAAGATAGAGGCAATGTGACCCCCTACCCCAGGCTCCCAGAAGTGAAGGGGATGCTGGTTAAATTGATTACCAGTGACCAGAGTTAGTAATGCCTACATAACACAGTTTCCTCAGAAAGTCAAGAGGACTGCATTCAGAGAACATCTGAGGAGCTGAGCAGCTAGAGGTTCCTGGAGAGTGGCACCCAGAGAGGGAGCTCTACACCTTCCCACACCTCATCTCACCTCTCTCGTCTCTATCCATTGTAGGGACTTTATAATTGTTACTGTGCTTTCTAAGTTCTGAAATCTGCCTAAGCAAATTAATTGACTCTAAAAAGGGAGTTAAAAGAACCATAGTTTTTAGCCAGTCAGAAACAGGAAATGTGGACTTGTATAGCATGTCTAATAAAAAACCCAGAGACTGATATTGGGGTTCAAGCTAAAGATCAGAAAGCAAAGCATCCAAGCCAGTAGAGAGCTCTTGCTTCTATGAAATCTTCAGACTGAAAAGAGCAAATTCCTGTCTCATCCTGCCTTATTTGCTTCTTTAGTGCTGGGATTAAAGATGTGCACCACCTCCCGGCCTCTGTGGCTTAGTAGTGTGGTTACTGGGGTTAAAGGTGTGTGCCACCACCTCCTGGCTTGTGGGGCTGACTAGTGTGGCTAGCTTTGCACTCTGATCTTCAGACTAGCTTTATTTACTAAAACACAAGAAAACTATCACTATAGACTTGTTATGTTCTGAAGTTCCAAGGCAGTCATGGCCCTCAACCTGTGAGATCTGATCCTTCTTCCAGGTGAATGATATCTGACTGGATTTGAATTAGAGGATGACTAGCTAATGTCTGCCTCGGAGTTGTTTGCTTGACTGCTGTGGGGGGGGGGGTTATGTTGAGTAATAAATTTTGTTCTTTCTTTTAGGAGTCTGTCTTCCAGAATATTTGGTAGTTTGTCTATTTAGAGTTTTTAGGTGTGTATTCCACCTAGAATGAATTTCTGTGGTTGTTATGGAGGTTAGAGTCTAGTGCTGTTGCTCTCCAGGGATCTGCACGGTTGCCCTAGCCCCAGGATTCCCTGAAAACACCTGCATTTCCACCTCAGCCTTGCCTGGACTGGTACTTTCTTTAAGACACATCCTTCCATCTTATGTTCACGATGTCTGCCTGGTTTTGATCCTTTGCATTTCACAGTTTGCTGAGTACTGACTTCTGAATGAGTGAGCATAAGTAAATTCTGTAACAGTATCTGACGCTTAGTCAGCACTGTGCATTTTTTGCTGTAATACAGCGACAGGTCACAGTGACTTACAGTCCTTGTCCTTGCTTCATCTGGATCTGCAACACTGTACTGTCACCGTTTTTCTTTAAGGAGAATATACTTATAATCTTTTCATCCCTGACATTTGGTAGGGCTTGCTGGTGAAGTCACTTATGCCTGGACCCTCCTTTGTGTTTATTTTATACCAGTTCAGTATGACTGTTACAAGGTGTGGCAGAGCCTGTTCTCAGCCACAGCCCATTCTCTCCTGAGTTGATGTGGGACCATGTTACTAACAGAGGCAACCATGTGTGAGGAACTGGGGTGTGTCCTGGCAGGATCACACACCGGAAGCGCCAGCTGCTGAGCCACTTGAGTGGTTGTCCTAATGGACCTTGGTCTCTGCCTCACAAGGTCAGAAAGAGTCTCCTGCCCAAGCCTGCTCTGGCCCAGGTGGATTTTGTGTTCAGAGCAGTGAGTGAGTTTCAAGCCTCAACTTTGAGGCTTTAGGGGGCTTTCAGCTATGTTCTGTAGCTCCTAACCCTAAGTCAGGAGTTATATAGTCAGCTGTCTATTTCTGTTCGAATTTTTGTAAGCCCTGTATATTTTTGAATTAATTTATATTGCCTTGGTTTTCAGCTTATTTTTCGTGTAAAACTGGTAATGTTTTATTTGCGTTTTAATAGCTCCAGTATTAGAAGTTGTGCCAATGTGTAGACATGTTGTGACACCTGAGCTTCTAAATAAGACCTCAGTATCTGGGTAAGAGGATAGCCTCTGGCCTTTGGCTCTGCCTCAGCTTTCACACTACAGACATGCTCTTCAAGCCAGCAAACAAGTAGGCCTGGTATTCCCGTCTTCAGTGTGTCGCTGATGGTAAACTCTGGAGCTTTCCTTCTGCTGGCTGTCCTTTACGTGTATCTATGTATCTGCTGAACCAGCTTCCCGATGTCACTCATGGCATTATATGTGTTTGGGTTTATTGTTTCATCGGTTTTCCTGTTTCGTATTTCTTTTGTTCTATCTGCCATTACATTTTGTTTATTTTTTCTAGTGTGATTTTTTTTTTCTGGCTCCAGGATTGTCATTTTTTTTTTGTTTGTTTTGTGGGTGGTTGGTTTTTCTGGGCTTTGTTTTTTTTTTATTTTGTTGTTTTGAGACACGGTCCTTACTGTATAGGCTTGGCTGGCCTAGAGTGCTCACCACAGAGACCAGGCTGACCTTGAACTTACAGAGATCTAGCCTCTACCTTCTGAGTGCTGGGATTAAAGGTTTGCACCACCACTCCTGGCCACTTTTAGATTCTTATCTTTTCAGCACTGCTACCCTTGCTAATCAAGGAGCTGGTTAGCACTCTGGACACCTCCAAAATACACAAGAGCTTGTTCACCTTTGGGTTTGGGTTTGATGGTTCCCAAGTTTCTTAATGAGATGTTTTTAGTTTCACAAAATATGTGCATAGCTACTGTTAATCTGAAGCCATCTGCCTGCTTATTCTTTGCTCTACTTTATGTCAGACATTTCCTTGGGAATTTATTTATTTGTCTACTGGTAGCAAATTATCACATTTCTCAAAAACCATTTTTCCCTCTCTTGAACAGCAACCTCCTTGGAGTAGCATTTGAGGTTGACCTGAATTCTGCTCATGAGCTTGATGATGTGCCTGCATTTGGAGTGCTGTATTTTGTGATGCAGTTTAGGAATAATCACCTTAAGTCCGGGCCTCACATAAGGGCTGCACCAAAGCCAGACCTGGCCTTGAATCTGGCAGATGGCTGGTCTGTGCCCTTGCAGTCCTGGCTCAGCTAGGAAGCAGAAAACCCCTTGAGAGAGAGTAATATGAAGCTCTTTGCTGAGCTTTGACGCAGGAAAGACTCTAGGCACCTCTGTGTTAGTACCCAAGTATGAAGCTCCTGCTGACCAGAGGATGTGGCAGCTAGTATACACAGCATACACTCCGAGGAAACTAGAAATCCACGTTTTAACACCTTTATTCTCACTTTACCAACTTGACACAAGGTTAATAACAGCAAACACAATGAACAAAATGTTGATAGACACAAGCTGTTTCACTAAAGCAGTATGAGCCAGGCCATGATGATATGTCCAACAGGTGACTAGTTGCCTTGCACTCTATAGCAGGGACAGGAGGGCCATCCTGACCTGACAGACATTCTGAGCAAGTGTGTTTTAGATGTCAGCATAAGTGTCTTTCTGAGTCAGAACACCCATGACATCAACATTACCCATCACACTGATAAAGTGATACACTCCATATTCCTTAACATTAATAAAATAGTGTAAAAATATATATCACATATATATATATAAACTTAACTCCCTTTCTTGAAAAAAAAACTTAGTACAAACTAGTAGTAGTAGCATATTATTCCTTTCAAGTTTAAGTTGTACAGGCTTCCTTTGTTGTTTGGCTTGGTTTAGTTTAAGAGGTCTAAAGGAAGAGATAATTTAAGCGTCCCAAGATGGCCACACCCCTGAACTGTGAAGTTCAGAATGGTCAGTAGTATATTGGTGAAGAAGAGCAGTTTGGCTCAGTGTTGGGAGGATATTCTGTCTATTGATGTCTTCACAGTACAGCTAAATGTCACCCTTGCCATACTTAAAAGGTGTTGGCAGGACTTTCCCATGTGCCCATTTTGTAGCCAGGTAGTATACAAGTCTGCAGAGAGAGAGAGAGCGCGAGCCAGGCAGGTAGACAGACAGTTTTTCCTGAAAGGGAACAGGTCGCAGATACCATAGGTGTCTGTGCCGTGGCATTTGTCTCCATCCTCCCAGCCAGATCTAATGCCAAAGCAGCTACAGAACAGTATGTAGATGCATGGGTACAGTTGCGTGCCAGTAAGACTGTTCATTAAAACAGGTACCGGGGCAGCCCAGGGCAGGCACCGTCCTCTCTGGAAGAGACTGCAGAAAAGTGCAGCCCATTTCATAGCTATCTCCATCCGTCGTAATGTCCCTATGCCCCTGTGTAAGATAGGATACTGAAAGGTGTAAAAATACTCCAATATAAATATAGATCTCTCGACAATATTTAAACATGTAATTTGAACTTTGATCTTGGTAAAACATTCCCACTAACTAGTTGCTTATCTTATAGTATTAAATAGAAATAAATAAGTATTCTGCTAGAGTCAGTGCTCGCAAGCACCCTCCTGCCTGCCTACCTTCCTTCCCTGACACTTAGATACCGTTTGCATTGTTCTTCCTGCAACCTGTATCTTTCTCCTGAGTGTCACCTGCAACAGAACATCTCTGTCACTCCAACCCATGTCCCTGAGTGTTGTTCCTGACAGAACCTCTCCTTATTTTCTTGCTGTCACAGCTTAAGAGAACCTGTCTTTGTCTCCTGGGTGTCAGCTCACAGCAGAGTATGTCGCTGTCTCCTAGGTCCTCCTCTGAAGGAACCTGTCCCTGTCTCTTGTGTGTCTGTCACCTAATAGC